AACGCCACAAGCTTGCTAACCATTAAATCATGCCAAAATTCTTAAATGATTTTCTAAGCATAATTTAGATGTGTCACAAGGCTTGAAAGTATGGGGTACCCTGTGAGGATCGAACTCACTACTCAGTCGTAATTGTTCTAACGCCACAAGCTTGCTAACCATTAAATCATGCCAAAATTCTTAAATGATTTTCTAAGCATAATTTAGATGTGTCACAAGGCTGAAAGTATGGGGTACCCTGTGAGGATCGAACTCACTACTCAGTCGTAATTGTTCTAACGCCACAAGCTTGCTAACCATTAAATCATGCCAAAATTCTTAAATGATTTTGTAAGCATAATTTAGATGTGTCACAAGGCTGAAAGTATGGGGTACCCTGTGAGGAACGAACTCACTACTCAGTCGTAATTGTTCTAACGCCACAAGCTTGCTAACCATTAAATCATGCCAAAATTCTTAAATGATTTTCTAAGCATACTTTAGATGTGTCACAAGGCTGAAAGTATGGGGTACCCCGTGAGGATCGAACTCACTACTCAGTCGTAATTGTTCTAACGCGACAAGCTTGCTGATCATTACATCATGCCAAAGTTCTAAAATGATTTTCTAAGCATAATTTAGATGTGGTACGGGGCCGAATGCATGGAGCACCCAGTGGGGATTGAAATCCTTATTCAATCGTAAATGATATAGCGAAAAATGCTTGCTAACCATTGCACAACAACGTACTGACCAAATGATTTTCTAGGGAGAGTTTATATGTGACACAAGGCCATATGTATGGGGCACCCATTGAAATCGAATTCACTATTCAGTTGTAATTGATGTTGTGGGACAAGCTTGTTAACTATTACACAAGGTCGTGGTGCCTGAGTTGTAAAAATGTGTGAAAATATTGAACAAAAAAATAACTACTGATTCATAGAAAGAGGACATGAGTAGTATCAATCGCGAGAGACTCTGTACACTTCAAAAATTTGCAAGAGATAAAAATAGCTTGGAGGACAATGTCATAGAAAATTAACTGATTACTGTTTCGCGAGTGTGGAAGGAAAAGTTATCCGTCTAATCTATTTCCAAACTTTAATTAAATGATCTATCATTAGATTTCTTTCTTATTTGGTGGGGATAGGTGAATTGACTTGGTTAATGTGAGAAATATTGCTAATGACCATACAGTCTGCATTCTGAAGATTTTCTTTACTACCTTGTCTAATAGGTCTTGGAGTTTTCCCTTAATACCTTGTCTAATAGGTCTTAGAGTTTTCCCTTAATACCTTGTCTAATAGGTCCTAGAGTTTTCCCTTAATACCTTGTCTAATACGCTCTGAAGTTTTCCCTTATTATCCTGTCTAAAAGGCCCAGGAGTTTTCAATTACTACCTTGTCTAATAGGTCCTGGATATTTCCCTTACTACCTTGTCTAATAGGTGCAGGTGTTTTCCCTTATTACCTTGTCAAATAGGCCCTGGTGTTTTCCCTTACTACCTTGTCTGATAGGCCCACGAGTTTTCCCTTATTACCTTGTCTAATAGGTCCCGGAGTTTTCCCTTATTACCTGGTCTAAGAGGCCCTGGATTTTTCCCTTACTACTTGTCTAATAGGACCAGGAGTTTTCCCTTACTACCTTGTCTAATAGGACCAGGAGTTTTCCCTTACTACCTTGTCTAATAGGTCCTGGAGTTTTCCCTTATTACTTTGTCTAATAGGTCATGGAGTTTTCCCTTTTTACCTTGTCAAATAGGCCCTGGTGTTTTCCCTTACTACCTTGTCTAATAGGCCCACGAGTTTTCCCTTATTACCTTGTCTAATAGGTCCCGGAGTTTTCCCTTATTACCTTGTCTAATAGATCCTGGATTATTCCCTTACTACCTTGTCTAATAGACCCAGGAGTTTTCCCTTACTACCTTGTCTAATAGGTCCTGGAGTTTTCCCTTATTACTTTGTCTAATAGGTCATGGAGTTTTCCCTTTTTACCTTGTCTAATAGGCCCAGGAGTTTTCCCTTACTACCTTGTCTAATAGATCCTGGATTATTCCCTTACTACCTTGTCTAATAGACCCAGGAGTTTTCCCTTACTAACTTGTCTAATATGTGTTGGAGTTTTCCCTTATTACCTTGTGTAATAGGTCCTGGAGTTTGTCATTATTACCTTGTCTAATAGGTTCTGGTGTTTTCCCTTACTACCTTGTCTCATAGATCCAGGGGTTTTCCCGTAATACCTTGTCTAATGTCCTAGAGTTTTCTCCTACTACCCTGTCTAATACGCTCTGGAGTTTTCCTTTATTACCTTGTCTAATAGGCCCAGGAGATTTCAATTACTACCTTGTCTAATAGATCCTGAATATTTCCCTTACTATCTTGTCTAATAGGTCCTGGATATTTCCCTTACTACCTTGTCTAATAGGTTCTGGAGTTTTCCCTAATTACCTTGTCTAATATGTCCTGGTGTTTTCCCTTTTTAAGTTGTCTAAGAGACCCAGGAGTTTTCCCTTATTACCTTGTTTAAGAGGTCCTGGGGTTTTCCCTTATTACCTGGTCGAATAGACTCAGGAGTTTTTCCTTATTACCTTGTCTAATATGTTCTGGAGGTTTCCATTTTACCTTGTCTAATAAGCCCAGGAGTCTTCGCTTACTACATTGTCTAATAGGTCCTGGAGTTTTCCCTTATTACTTTGTCTAATAGGTCCTGGAGTTTTTCCTTATTACTTTGTCTAACAGGCCCTGGCGTTTTCTCTTATTACCTTGTCTAATAGGCCCAGGAGTTTTTCCTTATTACCTTGTCTAATTGGTCCTGGAGTTTTCCCTTATTACCTTGTCTAAGAGGTCCTGGTGTTTAACCTTACTACCTTGTCGAATAAGCCCAGGAGTTTTCCCTAACTACCTTGTCTAATAGGCCCAGGAGTTTTCCCTTACTACCTTGTCTAATATGTCCTAGAGTTTTCTCTAACTACCCTGTCTGATAGGCTCTGGCGTTTTACCTTACTACCTTGTCTAATACGTCCTGGATTTTTCCTTACTACCTTTTTTAATAGGTACTGCATATTTCCCTTATTACCTTGTTTAATAGATCCTGGAGTTTTCCCTTACTACCTTTTCTAATAGGTCTTGGGATTTTCGCTTACTACCATGTCTAGGTCTTAGAGTTTTCCCTTACTACCTTGTCTCATAGATCCTGGAGTTTTTCCAATACTACGTTGTCTAAAAGGTCCTGGAGTTTTCTCTTACTACCTTGTCTAATACGTCCTGGATTTTTACCTTACTACCTTGCTCATAGATCCTGGAGTTTCCCCTTACAACCTTGTCTAATTGGCCCCGGAGTTTTCCCTTCCTACCTGATCTAAGAGGTTCTAGATTTTTCCCTTACTACCTTGTCTAATAGGTCGTGGTGTTTTCCCTTGCTACCTTGTCAAATAGATCCTGGATTTTTTCCAATACTACTTTGTCTAAAAGGTCCTGCAGTTTTCCCTTACTGCCTTGTCTAATAGGCACCGGAGTTTCCCTTACTACCTTCTGTGATAGGTGCTGGATCTTTCTTTTTCTACCTTGTCTAATAGGCGCTGAAGTTTTCCCTTACTACCTTGTCTAATAGTCCCTGGAGTTTTCCCTTTTTACCTTTTCTAATAGGTCCTGGATTTTTCACTTACTACCTTGTCTAATAGGTCCTTGATTTTCCCTTACTACCTTGTCTAATAGATCCTGGAGTTTTCCTTTACTACTTTGTCTAATAGATCCTGGAGTTTTCCATTATTACTCTGTCTAATAGACCATGGAGTTTTCTCTTACTACCTTGTCTAATAGATCCTAGAATTTTCTCTTACTATCTTGTCTAATATGTCCTGGAGTTTTCCCTTACTACATTGTCTAATAGGTCCGGGATTTTTCCCTTACTACCTTGTCTAATAGGTCCTGGAGTTTTCTCTTACTATCTTGTCTAATAGGTTCTGGAGTATTCCCTTACTACCTTGTTTAATAGGCCCTGGTGTTTTCTCTTACTAGCTTCTGTG